ATTGGGTAATAACTCAAGTTCCTCAGGTGCTACCAACGTCTTACAACACAGTCTGATATTGGCACGTTCCCTGCGTCTTTAACCCATCTCGAGGACACTATCAGTGCCTGCGTATAGCTCTTGCATTTCAACTACCAGTGCAATAGGCTTGCTCACCCCTGGACAACGCACCGGTGCAGCTCGCACTGAAATCTCAACCCCCCTCGAGCAGACTAACTACTTGTACACACCCATCGGACTTTGGGCTTGCTGGTCACACGATGATCGGGTAAACTGGAAAAAGACAAAAACAAACGAGGAGCACGCTGTACAAGAGCCTGGCTCAACTTCAGAGACTCCTCGATATTTTGGTGCCATTTAGAGGACAGCGAGCACCTACTCAGCCTTATCGACGACTGTTTATATTACAGCAGGCAAGCTAGAAACGACCAAGTTCTCCTATCTATAAGGATGAGGACGATGCATGATGCCATAATACCGACGAGGCGAAGTGATTGAGGCTACCTAGCTGATGAATATATTGACCTGACTGTATGAAGCACTGTAGCATGCGGAAAGCTAAAGTGTGTTCGATAACCTAACAAAGCCGCACGTTGCCAATACGACGCTCCGTATATCCTGATATTCTGTCTCCAACTAAGAGTCGCCCAGAAACCCCGTACTTCGCGGCTGCTTTCACGACATTCCTAACTCGCCCACAAGACGTACTTTGTACAATGGCTTATTTACCCTACAAAGCCTGGACGCAGACCCCCGCTGTGGAAAGGCTTATTTGGTACAATGAGAGGATGGAGGGGATGAAGGGGGGTTAAATGGGTCAACACTGCATTCTTAACTCACCCCAAGGACGTCAACCAGTGCGCCAGTGTGCTTCGGTTCTTCATATGTTGGTTTTGTTGTGTGAACAGTCCCTACTGCCTGGGGGATTTCCTTCACCGCGATTTTAACCCACCCCAAGGCTATCAATTGCCGGTCTCTCTTCCCAAACCTTCTGCTGGCTTAACATACCTACCCTATCAGGACCTCAGAATCGCGCTCAGCGTAGCTCAAGTAGAAAAACTACCAGCTGCTGACCCTTCCAATGTGCATTGTGGCTGCATTTCGAACCACACCGAAGGGGCCTCGTATTACTCGGGGTCAGCTCATCCTATCAGAATCAGATAAACTGACACAGCTAAGCGTGTTTTCTGCATATTAACGCAGTATGCAGCTCTAATGCGGGCTGCTTTCTGCATATTAAAGCAGTATGCAGCTCTAATGCGGGTAGCTTTCACTGCAACTTTAACCCCCCCAAAGGACGTCTCTCATACAGACTTTGGCAACAGTAGCCATCTCACAGCAGTGTTGCACATTGACCCTTGGAGGATCTCGCTTATGCAGACACCGGCAGCAGATGCCCTTCAAAGCCTTGCACGACGCCTACTGCATCGGAAACTCGGTTATTCAATGACGGGGTTATTCAAGGACTGGATTCAAATGGGCTGGATTCAAATGGATTGGATTCAAATGGATTGGATTTCACTACAATTTAATCCCCGCCGAAGGGCATTTCTCTCACGCACTGAAAGGTACGCCTCAATTAAGCAACATGCTGTATGCATGGCACTTTATCACGTGGAGAGCACAAACATCAATCACGGAATTCTTAGGTGACCTTAGGAATGGTTTAAATTTGGTAGTATTATCGATGATTTCAAGGCATGAGACGCCAAGTCACAGAGCCAACGTAGTTGGTCATTCAATGTTAGAATCTCGAGGACATGGCTCTTCAGTCCTTGCTTCCCGAGGGAGAGGTTCCTCGTGGAATCGATGCTATTGACGTTGTTTGGGGTTGATGTGACCCGGAAACCCCCTTGTGGTCAATAGCCGCGGGGCGCGTCTTTTCCCATCCATCGTAAATCCGCTCGGGTATTTAGCCGGGCCTGTTGCCATACTGCGGCTGCCGGTTAAGACGAAGCGAAGCCCTCCTGGTATCTAAAATCCCCCCGATGCCCGTTTCTGGTTCCCTTTGGCGGCTAAATGTTTCCATGCTAGCGGCGGGGTGGTGGTCCTTAACTGAGGCCCATCCTCTATCTTGGTTTCGTTGCGTGGAGCTCTCGCGCCTCACATTCTCGTTTCTTCGTTCAATCGTTCTCTCGTGACCTTCCCTTGAGGTATGATGTGGGCGAGGTCGTGGGTATCTTGTAGCAATTCGAGGCTGGACTCTTCGAAAGCTGGTTTTTGTATGCTTGGGACTCGGTGCCCGTGTGTCTGATCTTTCGTTTTTGGATCTGGTTGTCTTTTGGATCGATTCATCGTTCTTCGTGGGTGGAATAATGACCGTCGGTCACTCGGGATGGCACACTTGAAGGACAAGCGAGCGCAATGCGATAAAAAGGTATATTCAAAATAGCCCCCGACTCCATAGATGCAATATATGCAGGCATGATATCTTTCGCCCAAAAAGGTATGTTCTTCGTCTCCCCTGGTAGGAGGACGGATAGATGTATCTCGAATATAGACAACAGCAACAAAAAGATAAGGGTATAAAATCTCGTAGTATGCACACGTGCGCGACCTCAGTTCGTCTTCTGCTTCGGCGCACCCTTGAACTTGCGCGTAATCGCGACACCAGCGACGCCAGCGACCATGAGGGCCTCGACGCTGAGCAGACCGACCCAGATGATGTTGAGGATCTGCTCCTCGTAGCCGCTGCCGATGTACATGGTCATCTTGTCGTAGAGCATGGGGTAGGCGCCAGTGACGAAGAGGAAGACTTGGGTGACGTAGAAGGTGTACCAGTAGGGACTGCGTATGGGGAACAGGTCAGCAACAAGAAAAAAGAGGTCACGAACGTGTGGTTTAGTGTGGTTCCATGGCGTTGGTCTTATAAAAAAGGGTCGAGGTGGGTGCTAGATGAATGGGCTGGACCGATTTGGTACTACCACGGTACCACCCCCCACCCCTCAGCTGCCTTGGAAAAATGAAATGTGGACGGGCAAAACAAGGTAAGGTAACCTTGGAGCTAGCGCGTTTGCGATCGTCCGTGGATTCGTGGAACCGTCCGTTCAATGAGTTGGGTGTTGGATCTTTGTCCCCAAAAATAAAAGGGAAATGATTAAATTGCGGGGGTTTTCTTCTTTGAAACCTTGTCGCATGGAAGAACCAGGTGGCGCTGATGGTGGGATTTTGGGGGGCCTTGGGGCCCTTGGGGCCCTTGGGCAAGCCTTGCAGATGCAGATTGGCGCTTGCCGCCTGCCGGGTTTCCTGCGCACGGAAGTTTGAAAGTCAAAGAGACAAGGGAGAGGGGAGATTTTGTAATGCGCATTGAAACGATAGGTGCAGAGAGTAGACGGGAACCAAAAGAAAGCAAGCAGGGAGGGGAAAGCTGCTCCGTAGAGAGGGATGGATTGGGGGATTTGATTGAGTTTGACGCTCATCATTCATAGTTCAGACGAGAGGGAGTTCAGATAGATGTCTGGAACTATGCCGCCTCGTTGACAAGACGGCGATGCAGGGAGTATCCGTAGACTAGAGAAAGACAGAGAGACCAAAAGCAAAGAAAAGTAAACTCACCGACTCTGTTCCGTCAAGCGCGTCCAGCGAATGCGCAAATGATCCGGTTCCCCAGCCTGCGACGCCTGGACCGCGAGAATGATGCCAGAAAGGCAGAAGGAGAACAGGAACATCATACGCTGGAACAGCGTGACGTGGGAGTTGAACTCGAGCAGGGTCTGCAGGAAGGCGAACATGATGGGCTGCAGGTTTTTTTTTTCGATGCCGTTGACGTAGCGGTGAGACCTGACGTGGTTCTCTTTGCTGCAGAAATGCAGGGTAAAAGAGGTCGAAAAAAAAAGTAGAGAGGTGGGAAGTCTGGACTCTGGAGAGCGTAGGTGCAGTAGTGTGCTGTTTGGAGGCGGATACTCGCGCAGCAAGCGGTTGTTGCGGTGTGACTGACGACGATTGACAAACGAAAGGGTCAAAGGATGAGGTGTTGCTGCGACTCTGCGAGTGCCACTTCCAGGGCCACGAGGGCGCGAAAGAGGGCGAGATGGGGGCTGGGAGCGATGATCAGGTGGCCAGGGGGGTTCCGGGGAGAGTCGAGACTCTCACGCGAGGAGGGGCAAAGCGTTGAAGCGACAGCGGGTTGGTTTGGGGCCCCGGTTTCCGGTGCTGTGATAGTGTGACTCGAGTCTGATTATGTTTTGGTTGTGGGTGATTGCGATTAATGCGCGTGTGCTGCGAGTAAACGCTATTTGATATCCGTACGGAAGTTTGTAGGGTTTGTAGGAGAATGTCTTGGTGCCACGAGGGGGAGAAAGCAAGGGACGAGCGAGTGTTTGTTAAAGAGACAAGGCTTGATAATTAAACAAGGTTGCAGCCGATAATAAAGACAAGACGACACTGAACAAGTGGCCACATTTATTGCGGGAGAAGGAACCAAAGAGACGAGGGACGGAGAGGGAAGCCGGCGGTTTGTGTGCCCGTTCAATTCGAAGTGTTGGGGTTCCCTGGTGGTGGTGGTGGACTAGAGGCAGTACGTACCAGCCAGAGGTAAACACAAATTTAAAGGTGGCCCCACAGCATGTCTTATCGCGCTCCACGTGTCCTTATCGTCAGTCCCAAATTGGATGGCGCCGCTGCCCCCGTCGGTTGGCGGGCCTAGCGAGCCGCCCACTGCCGCTGTGCCGCTGGTCCACCCCTAATTTGGCCCTGGCGCTGTCTGTTTCCGGCCTCAATCACCGCAACGGTCTAGGCTCCATCCACTGGCCCACTCTGCTGCTCTTCTTTGAGAAACCAATGGAAGAGAATCGAGACTCATTGTTCGGACCGGATCTGGTGATGGCTGCACATCTATGTATCGAGTGAATGGATGAGAGAGATTGCATTTGCGGTACAAGGCTTGCAAACTTGACACGATGGAGACAAGCTATGGAACTCGACTATGAAGTAGGTAGGTACTGTGGAAGATTGTCACCAAGGGGAGAGATCCACAGAAGAAGCATCAAGACAAAGTCGTCCCATTCTTTACGCATCTCGAAGAAACTGATCCACAGGTACACCCTTCTCAAAACTATCCCGATAAAACTCATCCAGCTTCAAGATCAATTCATCCTCAATTTCCATACACACCATCGCCACAAAACACCACTCCGCCCCCGTCGCCGCCTTCCTCGGCAATGATCCCAAAAACGTTCCATTCATCAGAGACCTAAACACACAAGTCGTCCTCGTCTTCCCGTCATCGCCATCCTTCTTGGCCCACCAAATGGGCGTAGATGGGTCCAGCACCGCTGTGAAGTCGGGGACGGCGTTGCGCCAGACCCGGTGGTGGTTATCCATCCGGGTCACGTGGAGTTGTGAGCCGTGGTCAATGTAGACGGCGTTCGGCGCAAAGAGCTGCGCAAAAGCGGCCGGGTCGTCGGTGGACCAGGCTGCGACCCATCTTTCGGGGAGGGTTTCTTCGGATGTCATGTTTGGCGAGTGTGATGTACTAGATGTTGAGATGAACGGCAGTTACGGCCAGACTATGAGGGTGACAGTCTCTTTTATATCTCATTGTGCCCTTCAGTTGCCTCATTGAAGTCTTGGAGCCTTTTGGCAGGCGTTGGAACCTTTAAGAGGATCAAAGTTGACGCTATTTCGTTATGACGGAGTGATCCCATCTCGGCAGTCATCTTCGGAGCGTAACACAGTCAGGAAGATCTGCTGATTGGTAAGGTAAACCGAAAGGAAGATGCAGTTAGCAATAGATCGCCCGGACTCGGCGCTCTTTATCAGCCGAGACGGACTTCTAGACCGAGAGGTCCGTCGGGTCTTCATTGCCTTACACGGTAAGAAAAGCCCGTTGGTTGTGCAGATTGGAGTTGCCTCGGCTTTCTGAGTTTTGCGGCGGTCATCGACACTCTGGAATGCGGCGCTCTCGGAAGCTGCTTTGCTTTGCGGGGTAAACCCCGTACCTTCCGAATTCCAACAATCGAGGTGCCGCTTTTCGGCTTCCATTGGATCCACTCATCGGCTCGGGAGTGGGTCACAGTCGGCCTCGATATTTTTAGGAACCTGGAAACCAAGGCAGTGAGCGTTGCAGTTCAACCAACAACCAACATGCAGCTTCCCACTCTTGACTTCCAACAATCAACAACCAACACAGCCCCCAATCACCAAAGTCCCAATCTGTTGAATCAGATCATGCAACAGTGAATTCGAAACGCATCCTTCCGACAAGGAGGCGGAGATCCATGATGATCAAGCCACATCAAGCCGGCCGCAGTTGGCCGTTGACGCACCAGCGTCCGCTCCAGCGAGCTCACGTTCTTCATTTTGATTAACGACAAGCGGCTGACCGCTTCATCAACCCAGTCATATCTGCGTCTATTTCCACCCACTACATTTCTTGCTTAGACGCGTCAAGCAATTAGTCGCCTTCTGCTCTATTCCTGAAGAGTCCATCAGCTTGGTGGGGTGGTGGGTCTTCTTGTGCTCTTGCTGAGCCTCCCACCTGCATCGGCGCTTAATCCCCGCCTAGGTTGCATTATTACAACCTCAGGTGGAGGATTGAAGATCTCGAGGCATTCTTCATGTTAGGCCAATGAATCCACAGCTTGGTCCTGCAGGCCCGCGGCACTGAGCCGTATGGCTCATACATACAAAATGGCGACAACCATTCAACCCGCCCCTAAACGCAGCTGGTTTCCGCGGTAAACGGTTCTTCGTCTCTTTCGGCCTCTGCAGGATTCATTGGCTGTGTGTCAAAAGAGGTCAGCATTGTTATCGAAGAGTTGTGAGAAGAATGGAGTACCGCGACGATATTCCGCGGGGGCACTGGAAGAAAAGCCAGAAGCCATATACCATCCGTCGGAAACCTATCTCGCCAAAGACCCTCAGCTACGAACCCATTTACGTTGAGACATCAAGCGGTACGCCCAGCAATAATGACATATGGAAGCCTCGCGAAAAGACAACCCTTGTTGCAAACGCAGAGTCCGAATTTTCAAACACCTCGCGATCCATCGAGCCCTCCTCAAAATCACAGATCAGCACCTCCTACACAGATTCCACTGCCAGTCATGGCTTGTTAAAGGCTACTGAGAATGTTAAAGTCGCTGGCATCGATGAGGAGAGCAATCAAAAAGGATGCGTGACAGCTTCATGGCGCCCGACTTGGCTACGTCCACTTGTGCTAGCAATCTTCGCCAGCCTCTTCCTCTTCCTTGCCGTGGCGCTGGCTGTCATGCTGTGGTACTCAGCCAACAACAGTGGGCTTTTCGAGAGTCGTCAAAGTCTATTGCATACTTATCTGTGGCGATTTGGGCCGACTGCATGTAAGTAGTGCGCTGTATTCTTGACTCCTATTCCAGGGATTTCCAACCCGTTCGACTGTCTAATGTTTTGCTGTCTAGTTCTTACGATTTTGACCATTTTCTGGGCCAGAGTCGAGCTGCAAGCTATGCTATATATGCCTTGGACTTCTCTACGTGCGGGTCCCTCGCTTGAAGAAAGTGATCTAGCACTCGACTACACCACGATGCTTCTACCTCTTGTTTTCTCCCGGTCATTTCGTCGGAGGCATTATCTTGTTTTCCTGGTGGCTTTCATTTCTGCCTTGCTCAAGGCCCAAATCATCCTTGCCCCTGGATTGTACAGCCTCACGGAACTCCAAGTTACACGCCCTGTCGACATCCATTTACAAGACACCTTTGACTCGGTGACACCAGAAACCACATACACGCCGGACGCGAGCATCTACTACAGGGCAAGGGCACAATACGACTTCAACGTCGACTATCCATATGGGGTCGCGGAAGGTTTCGCGTTTCAAACGTTTTTCACCGGGAGTGATTTCAGTCGAGGAACTGTCGCCAACCCAGTAACGGCCACCATAGATGGGCTTTTCCTAGATACCCAATGCGTTAAGTTGAACTCCTACGCAATCTTGGAACAGCACAATATCGCCAACTATAAGGGCAGGGGCTTATACATGAACTTCACCGTGGAGCTTCAATTCGATGGTTGCGAAGAACCAGTTATCGTCCCGCATTTCGACGCCTGGCCCTCGCCGAGACTGAATGCTACATTCTGGGGTTTGCAAACGGATTCAAATGTCGGCCGACCCTGTTCTGCATTGCCTTTACAAGCCCCGGCTTTCCTATACTACAATGGGGTATTCAAGCTACAGAGCGATAACTCGTCTGAGTATCTCCATCCACCGGCCGCTGTAATCTGCGAGCCGCACGCTTGGTTGTCGAAAGTCCAGGTCACTGACGATGGAGTGAAGCCAAAAGTGATGGCAGTCTATGATGAGCGACGACCGTTGTCCACGCCAAATATCATGACAATGTTCAACAACTCACTCCCGCCCAAGGACATCTGGCACGCGGATACAGTTTCGGGGTGGACTGGTCCGCTTAGTGTTGATCTTAGGTTCAGGGGCCACGCGACTACCGAGTTTCCAGACGTTGTAACGACCGACATGTTGCAAGATTCTTCCCAGAACATTACACAACGACTTGGACCATTCGCTAGCCACTACCACCTTCGACAGAAGCAAAGCTCCAGTGGAAGTGGTACATCGTTGCAGCGGATCGTTCGCCTCACCATCAACCCCAAGCTTTGCCTATCGATGATCGCGCTCTTCATTTTCAACGCCGTTATCACTGCTTTTCTGCTTTGGCGTTATTATCACGACACCTCGGTCTGGCACCGCGATCCGGCGACACTCCTCGGGAATTCAATGTTTCTCAGTAATTACCCCGGCATCGCAAACCGGGCTGCAGAAATCAAAGGCCCATCGCCGGACTGGAACAGCGGCGCCTTCACGCCTTTGGTATTGAAAACGACATCACGCATAGTATTCTGTATCTTCACCATGCTGTTGGCGAGTAGTCTTATTGTCACCCTCCGATATTCCGAGACATCAGATGGACTTGCAACTATTGAAGAAGACGGCTATCTACACCTAATGTGGACTTCCTTCCCAGCAACCATAGCACTCGGAGTGTCCCTCTACATTACCTCTTGCGATTGGTCATATCGTGATCTTGCGACTCTCTACCATCTTTCTAGAGCCACGTGTAACTCTTGCGACCTTGACCGCTCTCTCCTGGACATGCTGGGACTACGCGCGCTGTACTACTCTTTCCGTTACCGGCTCTGGTCTGTCACGGTCTCTCAAAGCCTGGCCCTCGTGTGCGGGGTACTCACTTCCCTTGTCTCCATCATCTTTACAGTCGAAGTCATACCCGGGTCGACATCGACTCAATTCCAACAAAAGACCTGGTTTCAAATACGAGAAAACGTTGGGTACGACCTCGAATACACAGCGAAACAAGAAATGTTCAATGGTCTTTGGACCCGTCGGGAAGAAGGCTCTTTAACTTACCCGGAAAACACGTTTGACAATCTTTTATTCCACGATTTCGAAAGCATCGAAATCCTCGACCCATCCAAGAACCTTTCTGTCGCAATCACAACACCAGCGACCAAGGTTGAGTCACAGTGCACCCAGCTCAGCGAGGATACGTACGACATCAGCCATTATAACACTACCACGACAAACGGAACAATAGCGTATTACGCCGCCGTTGTTGTCACATTTTGTGATCCTGGGAATGACAAACCTACAAGGATCAAGAAAGACATCGACCTTGGTGGGACTGACCCGGCCGATCCGCTGGGTAGCATATACTTTTCAGGCATGCTTCAGACGCAAGCGAACCCAGTCGTGGACGGCTGCATGCTCGAGAGCCAGCTGGCGCACTCAAACTTGACGACGGCTTTGTACCCTACCTACGTTTGGGGAGCATTTGACCCGGCCCAAAACAACTTTTCCTTTGTCGCCGTTTGGACGTGTAAATACTCTTGGGTCGAAGTCGACGCGGAAACGAATCTGATCTTCTCCGAAGGCCGCCTCGCCATCGACCCGGAGAACCCCCCACGACCAGACATGGTGTCCATGAGGCCCCTAGACCCCACGCTTGATCTGAACACTTGGTTTGCCATGTATCCAGAGGTCGATCTCGGCGGCACGGGAGATCAGTTCAAAGGGGTGGAGGGTCCCTTCCGACCACTGATCAAACCGTATGGGACGCTGGATATGTCGGCGTTTGGAGACGAGGGACAGCAGGCGGACGTGATGCAAAACATATATCACAACTACGCCCTCAGCTCGGCGCAACTCGCCAACGTCGTGAACCGCAAACCCATCACCGCCGAGAGTGGACCCACACCGGCCCCGGTTGTGGAGGCGACCGTATATGACAATGGCCGCCGCCGGCTCGTACAGAATGCGACCATCACGTACATCGTGGTAGGTATCCTGGGCGCCGTCATCTTGTTCAACATCTGGGCGCTGGTGTCGGCCTTGATCCGGCGCTGCGGGGGCGGGGATAGCTGGCTATTAGATATGGATGCGAGGGGTCTCGCGCCGGACGGGTTCCACAGTATCGCCGCAGCAGCCAGCTTGCTTCGGAACTCTAACGCGGCAGCGCATCTGCCGCCTGGTTCCGAAATGATGTCGTCGGATGAAGTACACGGGCATATGCACGGTTTATACTTCCGGTTGGGATGGTTTAGGAGGGAGTGCGACCAGACGAGGCACTATACGGTTGGCGTGATGGGCGATCCGGCGTTTAATTATATGGGCGTTAGAAGGAGCTCAAAGAGGGCTTCGGCAGGGTCTTTCAGGAAGGAAAGCGTGCTTGATTGATGAAGAAGTATGAGTCTTCCACGAATGACGAGTGTATGGAGAGAGAGATCATCGTAAAAGTACTTTGGTAGATTAAGGCTCATCCTCGAATATAGAATAAGGGATACTCGCAGATACCGCAAAATTCGGCATATCCACAATCTCCGCAATCTTCAAATCGGCCGCAATGCTGCATAGCATATACGCCTCCTCCCTCTCAAGCCCCCTCTCCGCAACAAGATACGCAATCAAACTCCTCAACGCCTTCCTGCTCGCCTCCAACAAGTCAGAATCAATACCCAGCACCGCATACACGCCACCTTCATCGGTCTTATGGCCGCGAGCATATACCGATCCGCGCGTATCATAGTGCGGACTCGTAACGTACGGCATATCCTCACGCACCGTAAACCTCAACGTAGCTTTCATAGGCGTCTCGATCGCTGTGCCGCAGACTTCCCCGTCCCCTTGCGCGGCATGCCCGTCCCCGCAGGAGAAGTTCGCCCCCGGGACGCGGATGGGGAGGTAGAGTTTCGTTCCGGCCGTGATGTGTTTACAATCTATATTCCCGCCCGTCTCCAGCGGTGGAATCGTCGGGAATGGGCCTGCTTCCGCCGGCGATACCCCCGCTATTCCCAGAAACGGACGGAGCGGGATCTTAATACCTGGTTTAAACACAATATGCGTCGCGTCGTCGTCCCATTGGAAGTGCTTAATAACATGATTTGGGAATTCATCTGCTAATAGCCCGAAGCCTGGGAGAATTGCGGTCCAGCCCCAGCACGTAGAGGGTTTGAGGGAGAGGAATTCGATTTCGAGGACGGAGCCTGGGGATGCGCCGGTGATGGCGACGGGGCCGTGGATCGGGTCAAAGGTTGCGAGGTTTAGGGTCGCGAGGGATGTTGGTGTTGTGGAGGGGGTGATTTGGCCGCCGGAGGAGTCGTGGAGGTCGAAGGTTACGGGCTGGTTTTGGGGCACGGTGAGGAGGGGAGGGGTTTTGCTTGACCAGTGGAGGGTTGGGTTTGCGGATGTGATGTGGAAGGAGGGGGCCATGTTCTTGGAGTGAGGGCTGTGAGAATTGTGCTGTGTGGATTCTTAGGTCGGGGGAGAGTTGAGTGAGCTTCGATGGTTTTGTGAGTCTTGTTTTGTTGTCGGTGAGATGAGGAACTTGGTCTTCCGGGGGAGAGAACGGAGGTTGATGGCGGGTGGGGTTGCTTATCGGCGGTCGGATGCGGGGTTACGGGGTTTGAGGGATGAGTGACGTACCTTTATCCCGGCACGGAGCGGGTCTGGTGTACGTATTTGCCGACCCTCCGGCAGATGATCCATGTTTGTGTTCCTGATAGAGCTGATGAGCGACCTCGAACCTGGTATCAATGGCCTCTTCGTCTCTGTCATGGCATCAACCATATCAGATATCTGTTAGTACGGAGCTTGAGTTCTGAAATCAGCAGCAGGAGTGAACAGCTGTGCATCGTGATCATGATTCATACTTCTGTGTAGCTTCATTATTGACTGATGAGTTGTCGGCACAGCTTGACATACATACACTCTATCTCCCCTTTTAATCACCTTTTGCATTACCCAAGGCCCGTCCCTGGACCCCCAAGGCCGCCCAAATCACAAAATCTCAACAGGCCCAAACACGTTCCAAGAATCCTGACTCCCAACCATGCCCTCAACACTCAACCCCTTCGCTCGCTCCGCAAGCAACCCACCTCCCAGAATCCCAGCGACTTGCCTCGACAAAGTCGACTTGCGCCCCAAATACCACAACGCCTTGACACAATCCTCACACCGATCCAACGCCTCCGCCACAACCTCATCCCCAACACCCAACCAACCGCCCTCCTCCTCAAGCAACAACGTCCCCGCCATCGCAAACGACCGAATCAGCACCATAGTCCACGGCTCCGTAAGCAAAGCCCCCTCCTTCACAGCCGGATGAAAATCCAACAACACCCCCAACCCGCCCACATCATGCTGCGGGGTAGCCGCCCTCGCGAGATCCGACACCTCCCGCACGCTCGCCCTCCTCAAATCCCCGACCAACCCACTCGCCGCTCTCTCCGCCGCCCTCGTCGCGCTGCCCAGCCCCTGCTCGTCGACGAGCGCGATGCAATCCGCCATCATCATCGCCGCGAGGAGCCAGTGGCCCAGCAGACAAATGTACCAGCTCTGGATCTTGGAGGGGATCGCGTCGTGGTGCTCGATGCAGTCCCGGAACAGGGGGCCGTACATCATGTTCCAGTGGCGGTAGACCGCCAGCCCGTCTTGGATCGCGTCCTCAATGGATTTGGGGGACGCGGAGCCGCGGGAGGAGAGGGCTTGGATGCGCGTGATTTTGCGGAAGAGGAGGACTTTGACGGGGGCTGCGTCGCGGAGTTCGCGCTCGAAGGTGTCGGTGGGGCAGGGCCAGCGGAGGGGCGCGAGTTTCTGGTTGCGTTTGATGATGAATTGGTCGTTCCAGCTTTCTGGGGGTGGGATCGCTGCCGGGATGGCGTCGTCGTCTTCGTCTTTGCAGGGCGGTGAGTCTTGCTTCTTTGTTGTGGTCGTCTCGCGGCTGTCTTCGTCTGAGACGACGGGCGGTCTGTCGGAGATGGCGGAGGATAGGGTGTCGAACATGATGGCGAGCCAGAAGAGCATCTTCATTGTCGCCTTTTCTTCGCCGTGGGTATCTTCTCCATTACCACCATTCCACCCCGACTCGTTTCTCATGCCGCGTGCTTTTACTTTCTTCCTCCTCTCAAAGTTTTCGGACCTGCGCTTGAGAACGTGTAGGCGCCGCGCGCCGCGCTCGACGTAGAGCGAGTACCCTTCCTCGTCCAGTGCCGTCTGCACCTTTTCCTTTGTACCCGGCGTTTCCCACTCGTTTCCGTCTCCGTTGGTGTAATCGTACCCCAGCTGACTCTGGCCGACCATCCCTTCGTTGAACTCCCACCCGATTCCCTCCGCGCTCTCTTGGTTCTTCTGTGTAAGACCAAAGAGGAGCTCCGCCATGGCCACTTTGAACGAGTCTACCCCTGCACAGTCGTCCAGACACCGCTGCGCCTGGTTCCAGAACGAAATCTGCAGCGCCGTGTCGAATTCCTGCTCGGTCCCCGGCACGGATTCCCCAAAGCCGTTTGGTTTCTGGTACCGCGCTTGACTCCGTTGACTTCCCTGCGCCCACTGCGCCGTGAATGCCATGATGGCGAGATGCAGCGCTTTCGTGGCCTTTCGATCTTCGGATACGCTGAGCGGTTTTAGACCCAGTGAGGCGAGAGATTTGTCCAGCTTGAAGACGCGGCGGTAGATCCTGTTGGGCAGATTGAGATGAATCTGCGTCGGGTCGTGACCTCGCGCGTCGCCGAGACTCGAGCGCTCCAGCTGTGTGGGGGTTAGGATGTAGGGACAGTTCTGCTCGACCAGCCAGCACGAGAGCGCGCCCTCCATGACGTCGTGGTACAGCTTCATGAGGTTATCCGTCATGAGCGTCTGATTCGTCCGCGCAATCATGGCCTGCGTGGCCGAGTACTCTGAGATCCCGGTACCGGCACCATGTGGCGCATAGTTCATGGCGTGCGCCTGCTGCCACGCCCTCTTGCGGGCGTTCGGGTTGATGCCCATGGTTGAACAAGTCGAGTCCGGGCTGAGGCTGATTGTCGAGGCGCCGTGCATGGAGACGAGGTCGGCGTCGTCGAAGCCTGGTAGCTCATCTGATAGACAGCTGGGCGCTGAGAGGGATGAGGGGCCGGGGAAGAGGAGCGAGGCGGCGTCGTCGGCGGATGGGTCGAAGGTAAGGTGCTCGTCGGCGGGGGATAGCGTGAATAGGTTTTGGGGGAATCCAAAGTCGTTTGCTACTGCTGCTGCTGCTGCTCCGCCAAAGGCATGTGAGCTTGGCGTCTCGTGGGTGAGTGACGCGATATGATCCGGGATGAGTGACTGCAGCTCGGCGAGTTGGGCCTCACTCAGACCTGATGGACCTTGCGACGCTGGCGATACTGAGGCGTTGTTGCTGTTGCTGCTGTCGTTGTTGTTGTTGACCTTCTTGCTGTGAGTTGACTTGACCCTCTTCCGACTCGGCGCGGCGGAAGCGGAGGCGGCGCCGGCAGCGGCAGCGGCAGCGTTCTTCTCGGCGGACTGCCTTCGGACCCGGAGTTGGGCCTGCTGTGACCGGGCCCAGTTGAATGTGCACGACTTGCGCGTCTTTGAACAGTTGGAGCACGGCCCGTTCATGCCCTGCCAGTCTGTTCCTCAGAGAATTAGTTCCGTGGTGAAGAGAGAGTGTTTCGTTGTCTCATTGCTCAATTCACTCTGTGCTACCTACCAACCTCCCATTGAAGGTCCGCATCCAGACACAGCTGGATATCCTTGAGGGCGCCGGCGTCGCAGGCCCGCTTGCCCTTGCGACATTGGTCGCAGCTGCTATTCTGCCGCCTCATCGCGTTCGCGTATCGTCTCTGCCGTCGGTTATCGCAATGCTTCTCACACTATTCGGTGGGTATGTGTCAAGGTGAGGTGAGATGAGATTTCAATGTGGAGGTTGAGCCAGGTTGTGAGGCGGAGATTCGAGACAATCGAAGCTGAGAAAGAAGGGGTGGGTGTGGTTCCTCCAGCTGTCTCCAGTTTCTTTTGCCCCCCCAACAAAGAAAAATCCCCGCTAGTTCCAAAACTCGTGACCAGTCAAATCCCCCGGCCATCCGAAACGACGTCGTCACGGGGAGGTCCCTGTCGCCAAAACCCCGCGTTTTTCCTCCTTCTCTCACTTTTCTTAGACTCTCTAGCGTTGCCTGCGTCAGCAAGGAGAAGAAAGCGGGGTGCATACGCAGTACGGCGAGTTTGCCAGTTGGTTCATGTTTCCCCCCGCAGATCCTCTTCTTCTGTGTTGAGATTCCGTCTCTGGTGTGTGCCAGGTGCCAAGTCCGGTGTTGGCTGGTCTGGGGGAACCGGGGTTGGGATGGGATCCGGGGAAGGGAAAAGAAAGGGAGGGGGGGTTCCCCATCCTCCGGAAGCGAGAGCTGTCAACCCCGGATTCTTTTGCTTTCGGTGAACCTTACGATGCACAGGTTCAAGGGATCCAATGGTTTGGTTAGACGTTCTTGAAGCTTACCATGTCGTTGGCTGCATTCTTCAACCGTCAGGAGGGTTCTGATGGGAAAATCAGCCCACTTTGAGGTCGTCTTGCAGTTGCATCCTACCTAGACACCTGGGTAAACCAATGGCGAGCGGGACATCCCTCATGCACTGAGTCTCTGGCAATGGAATTGGGTCAAGACCTTCTCACATATTACTAGCTTCATTCTGATGAAAGGGGGCCAATAGGGAATCATCCATACATGAAAATCTGTTTCCGAAAATTCCGACTAGAAACAAGCCTCATCAGCAGGAGAACGACGCTAAACCCCGCGGAACCACGGTGTCTAGCTAGACTGAAAGCATCCATTCCGTTCATCACCATAGGCAGCGCATCACGCACTCAGCCCCTTGTACACAGCAGCCTCAACCTGCGCCCAAAGCCCCATGACCGAAGCGTCGCCAAACGGCAGAATCTGCGAGCACACGATCCCGGCCACCCCGTTCTCCCGGTCGCACCACCAAAACAGGTTCGGCAGCCCAGCCCACCACGCCGTCCCGCTCGAGCGCCCCGTCGGCCCGCCCGTGATCATGAACGTCAGGCCCCAGCCCTGCGGCGGGTTGCCCGGGAGCGGGTAGAGCTCCGGGATCCCGTTTGTCAGCTCCGGCTTCGCGTCCTGGACGCCCTGCCGGGCAAAGTCTGGGAATTTGGAGATTTGGTTGGAGAACATTTCGTCTACTGTCTCCTTCTTGAGGAGTTGGGCTTTTGTGATGGGGCAGGTTCCGTCGTTGAGGAAGACTGCCAGGATGCCTGTAGCGAATCATGTAGTTAGTCATTCGATAGTTTGACGTGATTTCGATAGAGACATAGTACGTACGGGTGTATTCTTGAGGCTTTGCAAAGATTCCGGCGCCACCGCTGTTGAAGCAGGCGCGGATCTCTTCCTCCGATTGCACGATCAATGGGCGATGGAGAGGGTGGTCTCTGTGGACCAACTTGCCGTCAGGCCTCTTGTAGTGCATGTACGCCAACTGCGCCTTCATCGAGGGCGTCGGTATCATGTTGACGTTCTTGAGGCCCAGAGGCTGGCAGATGTTGGCCTGGATGTAGTCATTCAGACTCATGTTCGTGGCCCGCTCCAGCGCGATGCCAGCCCAGTCAATGCCGACCTACAAAGTCAAGTCAGAATCCATGGTCTCAATAGTATGTCCACTTCCAAAGCTTCACTTACGCCATACTCCCAGCCCTCCCCCGGCTGGAACAACAAAGGCTGCACCATATCCCTCACACTCCCCGAGAACTCATCAATCCCCGCCGGCAGACTCCAATCGCGCAGCCTTTCACTAAAGAAGGTATACCCGAACCCAGCCGTGTGCGTCAGCAGCATGCGGAGCGTGATACCGCGCTTCTTGTCCACGAGCTTACCCTCGGGCGTCAGGACCTTGATGTCGGCCAGCTCCGGGCAGAGCTTCTCCAGGTGGTCGGCGTCATCGAGGTTGAGCTGGCCCTTCTCGACGAGCTGCATGCACGCGATGCCGACCACCATTTTCGTGCACGAGGCAATCCAGTAGACGCTGTCCAGGGTCATGGGCTCCGAAGAGTTGACGCCCCGGGTGCCGGCGGCGTGGGCGAATTGTTCGGTGCCGGTGCGGTCGATTACGACTACGGTCGTTCCGGGGATCCCGGTGGGGGAGGCTGTGACGGCATTGTCTACGATGCCTTTGATTTCGTTGACTGCTTGTGATGAGAGAGGCATTTTGAGTGTGAATGTGAGTGTGAGTGTTTGAGTTGAATATGAGTTTCTATGGAGTGAGTGAGATGGCGTGTGAAGATAAATGAGATGAACGGCTCATGTGAGGAAGGAGGGGTGTGTGTGAGTGAGTGAGTTCAGATTTCACAGCAGACGCATGAGAAGATCACAGAGATGATCAATTCGGCCGAGCTTCGTCTTGGCAATCTGCGCCTATCCTTTTCCAAAGCAGTCATGTCGGTGCGGTAGCATTAAATACGGGGACCCATCGTCTCAGCTGCAGGCCCAAAGAAGAAGCGCAACGCACGCAAGTTGACGAAATAGATGCAAACCTTAGTACTTTAGTCATTCGAACCGCGTCCAACCTCGGCCCACCACGACCACCACCACCAACACACACTTTGAACGGCACCTATTCCGGACTTGGGGGGCAGATCAACTTCTCCAAGTTTGATTCGTCTCGAGACATGGTCCATCCCTCCCTCCCCACGATGCGAATCTGAGAGTTTGGCCTTCCCCGCAAAGCGGTGGTGAGAACAGTACCGGTAGTGTCACGGCAGTTGCGGATCCGCTCCACGGCCGCAGCGGCTCTCCGCATTTTCACTGTGACATCCCGTCTTGTTTGAATCCTCTCCCATCCAGTATCCGCTCGTCGCCTTGCCTGCAGGGCGGATCCGCAGCGGCTCCTCCTTTCGAAGTCTTCTCCTCCCTTCGGTATGATGCGGGGATGCGCAGACGCGACGACGAGGCTGGTGTTTGAGTGTTTGAGGGGAAATGATATGCGGACTTCGACGTTTTTTGCTGCATGTCTGAGGTGAGTACAACCTCGCCGGGTGATGCGGGATAGAGAGCGTCGACTTCTTGGAGTATCTGCTGCGGCCTTATGCGTCCAACGTTGCTCTGAGGGCCTCGGCATCTGCGGCCTCCACGGACGACACCAGCATCTTTTGATGGGGATATCGATGCAATGCCACGAATGCGGGCAGAAGTTGGTGCGGAGGATGTAACTGCGGTTGCCTCTTCCAAGGTATCCGTACATGATGTTGGAGTACAGTGTCCCCATGAGGGTGCTCTGGAGATTCTCTGGGGATGCCCGTTGCAGTCGTCTGATGTCACGTAAAGCAACACGTCTCAGGCGAAACGAACTGGATAAGGTAGACTTCAGTATGTCGTCACACGAGGCTATAAGAAGCATTGAACTCCCTCGACTCTGTGTGCAATCTGGAGAAATTGGACGAAAGAATAATATTCATCGTGCTTCAACTCTTTTCATATCATTATCATTATCGTTCGACATTTACTTCTGAGAATTTGATATTGTACATTCCAGACATGGCTACGATTACAGCTACCCAGCAGAAGAAATTTGCGACCGACCTGACGGACTATGCCAAGCGTCGTCGGACGGACGGGCCCTACGCCGATAATCTCGATGTAGATGTTCTCATCGTAGGCGGTGGATTTGGTGAGTGATCGTACCGCAAATCTTACTTGCTACACAGTCTCAAAGACTAACATGATGATCAAAGGCGGAGTTTTCATGCTAAAGACTCTCCGGGAGATGGGTCTACGAGCAGTCATCTACGAAGCCGGAACCTCATTCGGAGGAACCTGGCGCTGGAACCGCTACCCCGGTGCCCGAGTCGACTCAGAGGTCCCAGAGTATGAGTTCTCATGGCCCGAGGTGTTCAAGGACTGGACGTGGTCGACCAACTACCCCAATTACCAGGAGCTTCGTCAGTACTTTGACCACGTTGATAAGGTCAGTCCGCACAATATGATTCCAGGAGATACACTTGAACAAAAGCTGAGACAAAAGTCACGCAGGTACTGGATCTCTCCAAAGACTGCTCATTTGATACCGTCGTCACCGGCGCCCAGTTCCAACCAGACGAAGGCAAATGGCATGTAAAGACCGCCGATGGCCGCTTGGCAAAGAGCAAGTACTTTGTCGTCGCAGCCGGCTTCGTAAGTTGAAGTCTCTCTACTCTCACACACCTCGTTCCGCCCATAAACTCACCACCAAAACCTAGGCCTCAAAACGCTACATCCCCAACTGGCCCGGCGTCGAGAAATTCAAAGGCGTAGTCCACCACTCCTCCTTCTGGCCCGAAGAAGACGTCCCCGTCCGCGGCAAACGCTGCGCCGTCATCGGCACCGGTGCCTCGGGCGTCCAAATCTCCCAGGAATGGGGCAAAGCCGTCGGCGAGAGCGGCGAGCTCAAGGTCTTCCAGCGCACGCCGAACCTGGCGGTGCCGATGGGCAAGCGCAACCTCACGGCGCAGGAGCAGAACATCGGCAAGGAGTGGTACCCGCGCCTCTATCAGCTGCGCGAGAAGTGCTTCGGCGGCTTCTTCTACGGCATGGTGGAGCGCAACACCTTTGACGACTCGCCTGAGGAGCGGGAGGCGTTTTATCGGCAGCTGTGGGAGCACGGCGGGTTCCGGTTCTGGTTGGGGAATTACAAGGATATGCTGTTCGATGCGGATGCGAATAAGGAGGCGTACGACTTTTGGGCGAGGAATGTGCGGACCCGGATTGGGGATGCGAGGAAGAGGGATATTTTGGCGCCAAAGGTGGACAAGATGCCGCACTTCTTTGGCGTCAAGAGGCCTTGCTTGGAGCAGAACTACTATGAGCAGTTCAACAAGGCCAATGTGGACGTTGTCGACATTAGCAAGAACGAGATTGATAGCTTCACGGAGACGGGTATCAGGTTGAAGGACGGGACGACGTACGACTTTGATGTGGTTGCCATTGCCACTGGTTTTGTGAGTCTTCTTCTCTTTTATCTGCAGAGGCAAGGAGGGAAATCTTGTGCAAGTGTCGTTGAAAGCGACAAAGCACAAAACGAAGGACTTCAGCACCACATCTTTGCCCTGCGTACGTAACGTTGCAAGCTCGCCAAAAGCTAACACAAACCCTTTCCTAGGACATCACCGCCGGAGGCATGACAAACATGGGCCTAAAGAGCATCAACAACACCTACCTCCAGGACGAATGGAAGGCCGCAGCAAACACCTACCTCGGCACCACCGTCAGCGGCTACCCCAACATGTTCCACATGTACGGCCCCCACGGTCCCACGCTGCTGAGCAACGGGCCCTCGACGGTCGAGGTCCAGGGCCGCTGGATCGCCGACTGCATCCGCAAGATTGAGCGGGAGAGCATCAAGTACGTCAACCCGACCGCGGAGGCGACCAAGGCGTGGAAGCAGCGAATCAACGAGTTGAGCGACGCGAGCTTATTCCCGACGACGCGGTCGACGTATATGGGTGGGTCGATGCCGGGTAAGGCATTTGAGCAGGTTAATTTTGCGGGTGGAATTCCGCAGTATGCCAAAGAGATTCGGGAGAAGTTGGATGGGTGGACTGGGTTTGATGTTGTCAAGGATACGAGGGATAAGAGTAGGATTTGAGTTGTAAGAGACTCTTTTTCGTTGAGTTAGTGGTGAGGCTTTCATAGTAGTCATTCTGAAGCTGTTCTTGGCATCTTCATGGAAAACAACTTCTGAGAATACCGTGGACATTTCCCATTGAGTTGGAATTGAATATGAAAGCCCAATTTTCAGAACGTAAGAGCAATGGAGCTGCGTCGTACAATCGGCCTGACAAAGACTTGTCTGACAGTGATGGCGATTCCGACCAAAGGAACTCCAAGTGAATCATTCGGTGCAGGATTCTTGAATCAAAGGTAATGAGACGCATGAATGGTAGAACATACCTTACCTTAGCCTATGCCGAGTAATTTTCTTCTATTTGCTGCACTCGCATGTGGCGATAAGGGTTCTCTGGTAGCTCAACTGAGGGGCCAAATAGAACGCGTAGAAGCTTAATACCACAAATGACTTATAGCATGTACTCCTATTGAATTACCTTCCATGGCAATTTTTTATCATTATATTGTCATGCCACATCATGTCTCTTCGAGGGCAGGCAAGAAAGCAGGAGAATCAAAAAGCTCAAGGTCATGTTGCAGGCTCTTGACCGCCTGCCAGAAATATGTAAACCTTCTCTATCTGTGATACAACTTGAAGAACACTGCTATAAACCCAGAACCATTGATCCTTGCTGAGTCTCACCTTCCGGTAATGGTGGTATTTTTTGGTTACCCGATATGGATGAAGGCGGTGAACGAAAGGTGAATTCTCATGCTCAAATTCACCACGTCGCTTGAGCTCCTTCCTCCCGTCGACTGAAGAACGGGTCTATGGTATATTCAGCCACCTCATCCTTTGTATTCGTCTTAGCCGAGGCCTCAAAATTTTCTCGCACAACAATCAAGCTGGAGGAAATTTAGTTTCTTTCTTTCTTCTACTCTCACTCTATCGCCTTCCTCTCCCCTTCTCCCCTCAACACCAACACAATCCATTGCGACTTGCCAAACACTGCGATCTACGAAATCCCCCAAACCTCACTCCCGTCCTCTAGCATTCAGTCATTTGCCTTCAATCCCACTGCCAGTAAGTTTTCATTGAGCTCGACAACTCTTTGATATTTATCTAACGTTGTCTACAGTGAGGATGGCCGCCGCCAGGCTCCATTGGGCTCCTGGAGTCCTTTGGGCTCTGCTACTGTTCCAGTTGCTCGCCCTTACTCTTGCCCGTAAGTATCATCATCAATAATCCCGTCATTTTCTTTATTTATTTTTCTTCTTCTTGGAAGGTCCTCGTGACGATTGACAATGAGCTGACAATATCTTGCAGAATCCGTCCCGACCGTCACCACCGCTCTCGAGTGTGCCTGTGAGAACTTCACGCCCGGCACCGCCACCCTCAAGTTCGACAATGGATCTTCCTCTGTCTGCCCTTGTGCCTGTGGGAAGACCACCTGGGTCCCTACCACATACACTGAGGTCTACACTCTCTACGATTCCACGACTTCTAATGGCTCGATTGTCACCGCTCCCTCTGCTACGCTGTCTGATTCTTCTGCTCTCAGCAGCTTCTTCAGCAGCATCGCCTCGTCCGCCCGAAACTTTACGATTTCAATCAATGGCACCGGCATTGTCTCGTCGACTTGGACTCACTTGTTCCCTAGTCACAATGCGACAAGTGTCCGGCAGACTACTACGGCGTCTGGCATCTTCTGGACTGGACCAGGTAGCGGTATTGGTGGAACCTTCACATCTCAGACCGTTATCTGGAAGAACTCAACCACGGGCTCTCTGTTGTCGACGACTAGAACTAGCAACATTCCCATCTGGATCAACTCCACCTTGACGACCCTCAGATCTGGCGGTCACCTCTCTTCCAATACCTCAGTCCCTTCGAGATCCA